TGTGAGTTATGAACCCAATTTATGAACTTCAATATGCGTATAGCTTTAGCCATATAAAACGCAATTACAAAAGTTGAGCCTAATCGATCAACATTCACAGTGCCCTTTTCGCATCTCGACCATTTACAAACCGGATTGAAAACTTTCTTATTTATGGAAGCATTTAAAAGAAATTTGATACATAGCCACTTGGAATAAAAGCAAATTTAACACCAGTTTCAAAATTTGGTTTTGTGCATGATGTGCGGTGCCAATTTTCTTATTTATGGAAGCAATTAAATGAAATTTCATACATATACACTTTAAATAAAAGCAAAACTAACACCAAGTTCAAAATTTGGTTTTGCACATGCTGTAGCCATACCCAGGAGCTCGTTTTCTATTTATTTACACGTCGATGCGAAAAGGGCACTGTGAATGTTGATAGATTACGGTCAACTTTTGGAATTGCGTGTTATATAGCTAAAGCTATACGAATATTGAATTTCATGCAATTTGGTTCAAAAGATGTCAAAAGGGCCTTCCTTATTTTTTGGGATACATTACCAATTCACGAACTTCGATCTACAAATTTGATAAAGAATCCATCTACTAAATTTTGTCGTAAACGGTCCATTCGTTATCGAGATATCGTGCTAACGGACAGACGGACAGACACCGCATCTGGGATGGTCAAACTCTTTACCATTTTTAAACCCGAATTTGCAAATCTGTCCCTCTTAGGGTCGGAAATAATAGACAAATTATTTTAATTTGAAATCCTTTACTTTTTGGATTGATCGTTCTGTTTAAAGTAAAAAGTTCCAATAAAAATACTAAAATTTGTATGTAAAGAAGCAAGATTGTAAATATGAACAATCCCTTAATTTCAAAGTAAACAGACGGTGAGGTATGCAGGTACAGGATGTAAATCGAAAAGTGGAACATAGGCGTTTAACATGGGAAATTACTTTTTCTTTGCGCAAACGTTTCCTAATTATTTTACGCAAAAATACTTCAAACAAAAGTTATAGAGATATAAATTCTGCATCTAAATCATGTGAAACGATTATTCTACCTCTTCTTGTACGCGAAAAAATTAATTATAAAGATTCTGTTTTCACGAGTTTTTAGTCTAAGTAGCCATCGACTATGTTTTATCATATCTAGGTATAACTTTTATTTGAAGTATTTTTGCGTAAAATAATTAGGAAACGCTCGCGCAAAGCAAAAGTAATTGCCCATGTTAAACGCTTATGTTCCACTTTTCGATTTACACTCTGTACAAACTTACTTAAATCCTTTATGAATGCGCAAAAGTTGTAAATTATTTGTCACATCAAGGGTTTACAGGCGCGTCAATTGTACATAATACACAAGAGCTTGATTTTTAATCGGATAATTTTATTTTTACACGAAAGTTTTGTTGCAACTGAAAAAACTCGAGACCAAAAGTGTGATAAAATCGCGAAAGTTTTAGCTGGAACGATTTTTTTAATATTATGCTTTTGATCGAGGGTTTTTTCCAGGAGGCAACAAAATTTGAGTGAATTAAAAATAAAATTATCCTGACTTAAAACCAAGGTCGAGTGTATTTTAGGGAGATTAATAAAAGAAATTTTACAACCACTACATATTTTACGCATTCCTACACGCATTTTTATTGCTGTTAAAAGGCTACGTAGCGTTTAATCAGATAAAAAATCATCTGATTTGTTAGAATTTGAAACAATCACCAAGCTGATTGGTCGTATATTAATGGAGTGTATTAATCATATAAAATACATATACCTTGTGGTTATTATTTGCACCATAAAAATTAGTTAGCTACGGAAATTACACATAAGTATATAATAATCTGCTTCTTTGTTTTTTAACAGAATGAACAAATATTCTGATTGATTTAACGACTTTATATAGGTTATGAGTAGATACGTTCGTTGACATTTTTAAATTTTGCACTGCGCTGTGTTCTAAACGATTTAGCTCGCAATATTGTGGTAGCGAAATTAATACTGTGACTTACAAAAAGAATTGTTTAGTGAGTAGAGCACAAAACGGAAAAATTTCACAAGAAACCGTAATATGGAAATTTTAAAATTAAAAATTCATAATAAATGATAATTTTCTTCCATGGGGATCGTAGTCCCCATTACCTACACTGACTGGCCGCGTTACCTGCGCGTTGTATGGCAATACTTAAATTTGTCGTAAGTAAGTGGTAGCTCGGGATTCCCCAGTAATATTGGTAATGCGTTTTCTCAGGTATTCCACAAAATTTTCGAGCTTCTCTACACCAATGTCCCAATGTCTCTACTGCGAAAGGTATAAAAATATGGTTCTGTTCTATAATTGAACTGTATTTCCTTATTTTTATACTTGCCGCAGATTCAGATACTGCACCACTCGTTTTACTCGAACATTAATCCAAAATATTTCAGTAGCGTCAAGTCATAAAGCTAGGAAAAACTGTCCCAGACTACTTGGGTGTGTCGCCAACTCTTAAGATTTTGACTCTTGGAAAGAACACAGCGCAGTGCTTGCTTTTGGTATTCATCGAACACAATGGTGGTGTTAACGTTAATATACCCGCAAAAGTTAAAGGCTTTTTGTAAAATTTATAATTGCGATAGTAATGGTAATCGTCAGAACTAATCTTAACTTCGGCCGACATCCCAGAATTTAATCCTAGGCAACAAATTAGCACTACTCTGTTTATTAACTTCACGGTCCCAATGGTAGACTAAGGTAGCTGACTACCAATTTGAATTGGCACCATGTGATTTCTCCTCATCTTTGGAAACTTTTGTATTGTTCTCTTCATGGTATATTTTATATACAAGATGTGTGAGAAATAAAGGCTATTATTATTATTGTCGGTGTTTCTTGTGAGAACTCAGGTCTAGCCCGGTTAACTAATCGCACGGATTAAAATCAAGTAACGATTAGTGTCTGTGTCTGTGTCTAGTGCAGTTATGTAGGGTTCTAAAGAAAAAGAAAAATTAAAAAATAAAATAAATATTCGCACACTCACATTGGAAATCTAGGGATAGTATGTAATTCATACTTACCAACATAGCTATTAATGGCCACAATAGTCAACGCTATCAGGAAAGAAGAAAACAAAACAAAAATATCCTTATAATAATTCCTGTACTTTTATTAAATAGAGTTTATTGTGTAAGTGTTTCTTTGGCTTTGCGTTTGGGTTGTATACGAGTGGGTTGTGATAACGTGGTGTGTTTATGTGAAGAAGGAGTTTTGTGTTTTTTAACTGTGCTAGGACGTGTAACTTTATTGGGTGGACCTGTCTTTGTAGTGCAAGTTGCGTTACTTGTATTTATGGTGTTTCTTTGTTCTAGAGGTTGTATTTGTGTTGTTGCTTGGATTATTGGTGGAGACATTACGGTATTTTGTGAGCCTCTAGTGCTGTTAAGGTTGCTGCGTTTGGGTTGAGTACGAGTGGGTTGTGATAACGTGGTGTGTTTCTGAGAAGAAAGAGTATTGTGTTTTTTAGCTGTGCTAGGCCGTGTAACTTTATTGGGTGAGGGCGTCTTTGTAGTACATGTTGCGTTACTTGTATTATTATGATTATTATTATTATTATTATGGTCGGTGTTTCTTGTGAGAACTCAGGTCTAGCCTGGTTAACTAATCGCACGGATTAAAATCAAGTAACGATCAGTGTCTGTGTCTGTGTCTGGTGAAGTTATGTAGGGTCCTAAAAAAAAAAAAAAATCACACATGGGCACAATAAGCCAACGCTATCAGGAAAGAGGAAAACAAAACAAAACAAAAATCATTATAATAATTCCTGTAATTTTATTAAATGGAGTTTATTGTGTAAGCGTTTCTTTGGCTTTGCGTTTGGGTTGAATACGAGTGGGTTGTGATAACGTGGTGTTCTTCGGTGAGGATGGAGTTTTGTGTTTTTTAACTGTGCTAGGACGTGTAACTTTATTGGGTGGACCTGTCTTTGTGGTACATGTTGCCTTACTTGTATTTATGGTGTTCTTGAGGTTGTATTTGTGTTATTGCTTGGGTTATTGGTGGAGGTATTACTGTATTTTGTGAGCTAGTAGTGCTGTTTAGGTTTTTGCGTTTGGGTTGAGTACGAGTGGGTTGTGATAACGTTGTGTGTTTCTGTGAAGAAGGAGTTATGTGTTTTTTAACTGTGCTAGGGCGTGTAACTTTATTGGGTGGACCTGTCTTTGTAGTGCATGTTGCGTTACTTATATTTATGGTGTTTCTTTGTTCTTGAGGTTGTATTTGTGTTGTGGCTTGGGTTATTGGTGGAGACATTACAGTATTTTGTGAGCCTGTAGTGCTGTTAAGGTTGTTGCGTTTGGGTTGAGTACGAGTGGGTTGTGTTTGTGATAACGTGGTTAAGTGTGCTAAATGTGGATATTGTGTAATGAACGCGTGATATAGTTTACCTCTGTATGCTGTCCTGTCCGTTTCCATCTTCGTGATCTCCAGATACGTACCAAAAATGAAGCGATTCATCCCTTCGTCCCATTTCATACGTCTTTTGGAGGTTTCCTTTGCGCTGGTCCCATCCACAAGCGGTTAAGAAGCAGGCACAAAGGTCTATTATTATTATTATTATTATTAAAACGTCGTGCAGAAAGAGGTGTGGAGAGTACCTCTCAGGTCATCAATGAGTGCTTATCAAAAATATCGCATGGTCGTGTTGTCTATGTAGGCTAAGGAAAGCTGAATGCATTATTTATTACGTAAAAAAACAAAGTGGAATGAAATAGTAGCAAGGGTGCTCAAAAATGATCTTGGATAGGAGATTTAACAAAAGGCAAGATATATGGCTACCCCTGTTCTACAACACAAGAAGACGCTTGTAGTCAACATTCTTTTAAAGCTTTACCAACGGCAAGATACTAAAACTAACCACAAATACTGCGAATTTTCCTCCTGCCACACTCACTTCAGATCTTTCAAAGGCTGCTATTTTTGACAATGACGCTTTACTGAAAGTACTTATATCTAAATCTCGACAAGGAAAAATGGAAAAAGCTTATCTACTTCATTTATCTCTACGTATATATGAATCTGTTTAAGTAATGCGCGGTCATTCATTGAAAGTAAACGAGTCCAAAAATGTTCGTCAAAGTCCTACTTGTTCTGCCTTGTCTTTTGGTAAGTGGGTAAAGATGTGTGGAAGGCGTATAACGCTGTTGTTTTAGTGTGTTTGTGCCGCAGCACCCACAACTGGAACGGTACAGAATCAACCAGAGGTTTGCAAACAGTTCGGATACCAATGTCTGAATTGTTCAGCAAGTATATTTTGTGATAAGCAAAACGATAAATGGTCTATAATAGAGACGCTGCGCTGTCCCAATAACACATGCGACAATGGCGAATGCAAGGATGTGCCTAGCCGCGAATGCCTGGACAAGAATAAAGTTCCAAGCTGCCGATCTTCCGAAGGCATGTTTCCCAATCCGGGTTCATGCCGAGAATTTTACTACTGCACACCATCGGACTCGGGTAAATTGAACCTTGTTCGCAGTAACTGCACCGGCGGCTACTCCTATAACCCGCTTACGACGTACTGCGATAAGCCCTTACCCGCAGACGATGTTTGCAAGGGATATCCCGTTCCCAATTGTACTACACCGGGCCTAACTGGGGCGCTTACGGAAAATCCTTCGATCTACTTCACGTGTCTTCCAGTGGTTTCCAATGGAATTAGGGTGTTTTACCCGTATTTGGATGCCTGTCCGAATGGGAAAAAGTACCAGGCCGCAAACAGAACATGTAGTACTACTTAAATGTTTATGCCGCGCGTGAATAAAAATTACCAGCTAGAACTACTTTATTTATTACACCGGAAATCTATGCACTTTGCTACCCCCACTTGAACTAACTCCATCAAAAAATTATGCTGTAGCACCCTTTTACTTGAGAACATTTTCAACCTTTCTACGTTGTTCATGCTTCAAGTGTACAGAAATTTCCTTCATTTAAAACCTCATCCTTTTCGCTGCTTTGAAAATGTGCCTTAGGGACACCAAAGTTACAATTTAGTCACATAAAAAAATATTTACCTTGAACAGAAACGCGTGATTAAACTCACACTTCAAGTAGAAGATAATCCCTCAATCAAATACTTCAATTTAACTTGTGAATTAGTTCCCGGTATTCCCACAATAGATCTAATCTATTTGTTTTATCGATTCGTATATCAGCTTGGTGTTTATTCAATGATATGATCAGCACCTTTACTAAGCACTTTATTTTCATATACTTTCTGTCTGTCTTCAAAAAGTGCAATATCATGAACTTGTGGATTCTAATGGAGTGGAAATTTCAAACGCGTAATCTCGTCATTACTAACAAACGGAACAATGAAAAACGCCCTTCCTGCAATTTTCGTCAAAATCCCTAAGCAATATTTATATAGTAAATCTAAAGACATGGCCCTTTACTTCCATTGAAAGCTGTTAGAACAGTTCTTATATTCACAAGGACATATAAATTATTGCGTAATTTTTGATTTGAGAACCACTACTGTCGCAAATGATTTAGTTTAACGAACTCGGATTGGTGCACCATTTTTAAGTATCGGTAACGTTTAATAGTCGTATCCGATATTGAAATACGTAATGTAGGTTTAATCGCAAAATGTTTATGTAATATTTCTGGCGATTAACCGAATTTGGTGTAATCTCGAATTGGTTTGGATCGGGATACAATCTTTGTCACTTGTTGGAGGCTATACTTTGAATGTAAAGTGGATACATACGCAAGTACGGCCATCGTCTTTAAGCACATTGTTATCTCGGGTATTTTTTTAGGATTTTGCCATTTGAAGTTTGAACCGATTTTCAACCGTTACAGTGTTCATATTATTATTTTCTGAACAACGCTCTTATTAAATGGAGGTAGGTTACATTTTTGTGGTCGAATGGAATTTTGCATTTGGTTGCTTTACAGGGTTTTTGTTTTTTGGTTTCGATCTCTAGAATTTACTTCCGATAACTCTTTTCGCTTACGCCAAAAATGCACACCGTTTATTGAAAATATACGCGTTGTTATCACCATTTATTTCCAGGCGTAATTTTGTTTCCGTTTGCTATAAAGCGGTACATGCGTAAACTTTCCTATGTTTACCATCGCACAATTACTTTTTTAAACGGCTAAAGCGACCACCCGTTACATATGTAAGCATTAAGGATGAAATTACTGTTATTTTATTTTAATTTACTAATTTTGTATAGTTTAGGAACTGTAACGCTATCATTTATGCCATCTATTTGAAGGCGGCCTTTCAATCACTGCTTCAACGAATCTCCCAGAACTTCTAGAGCCCTCTGAATGCGTTATAGCGCTTTTTAGGGTTTAAAACCCTTTGACAATATTCTAGATCTAAGCCTTTAAGAGGTTTCATAAGTCTTTACATGACTTCTACATTATATTGAGTAGCGACCGTGAACTTTAAGAGATCAGTTTTTAATAAGTTTTATTAGTTTTTAAAAGTGTTTAAAGGTTTTAATTACCTTTAAAGGCTACAAGAGCCTGTGATGTTAAAGAATCTTCAACAAACTTCGGAGTGGAGCTTTGTGTAGAAACATAAAGGTTTTCATTAACGCCTAAGAGGTTTTAACAACTTGTAAAGTTTTTTTTCAATAGCTTTTAGAGACTTGAAAAATTGTTAATAATCTTTCATAGCTATTAGTATCAGAATCTTGAAGAAGCTCTTTACGATATTTAAAGTAAATTTAATGCCTTTTAGGAGTATCCAACGATTTCTACTAGCTCCCAAAATTCGCAAATAGTCAAAAAATCTTCTGAGTGCTTACAAAACCTCTAAAATCTTTAGATCTTGAACAGTTTCCATCTGTCTCCAAAGGTTTTAAGTGTTTGCAAGGGACACTTCGGGTTGTAACGAGTGCTCGCTTTAGAATTAAAGAAGTATTTTTTCGAATTTGTTTTTATTCAACATTTAGACATGTACCGCTTCATAGCGACCGTGAACGAAAGTGTGTCTTGCGATACACATCGATAACAAGAACGTATTATACGATTTATGGGGACCTGACAGTTTCGTTCCGTTCTGCTTAAGGCCGAGAACGTGACAAAAATGCAAGTTAATCATTCATTTAAAAGAGTATTTTAAGTGCGATGAAATTGAAGTCTTAGCGAAGTTATATAAGCGCGTGCCATTTTGTGTACAAGAAATTTTATTTCGTGTATTTGCGAGGATTTTCTGCAAGAAAAAGTCACCATGCACAATGCTTTCGTGCGAGTTCCTATGGTCGCTGTAAAATGTAACTATTTTTAAATCTTTTGAGTGAAAATGCCGAAACCACCTAATAGTTGTTGCTAAATTTCAATCCCGTTGTTAAGAAGCGTGTAAGTAAAATCAGATTTGTGACAAAATGTGAGTAGGAGCGATTTTGTAATTTATGGATCATATGCGTAGGTGTAATTTCGAAATCCACTTCAGAAGTTCACGATTAATCAATTCGTGCTCGACTGAATACAATTTATTTAAACAACTACACTCACAAATTTAGGTTCCTTCCCTGGCACAGATTATTTCTTTACCATTAAATTTCGATAATCTCTTGCCGTCAGAACACTAAATCTAAATCTTTCACCGGAAAATCTTATTTTGATTTTCACCTGTTAATTGTAAGATTTTCGAAAACTCGCGAGAAATTGACGTTTAAAAAATGACCTTCCGCTATGGTAAAATCGTAATGAAATTTTCTGCGGCAACTTAATGTTGGTTCCCCCTGGAACTGTTAGACTAAATGCCTTCAAAAACTTCCCCCAGACTAGCCCCTTTCCTGTTTTTAATTATCTATTTCTATTTAATTAATGGCTACTCACTGCAGATTCCACGCTGCTACATGATGACATCACGCCGAGTGTGCATTTGTTACTAAATAGCCCTAATTTCGGTTGTCCCCCCCCCCCCATGGTGGCCTTTTGATGTACCGCCAGGATGGCTTGGATATTGTGCGGCAGTCTGCTGTTCCATACAGAAATTGTCGAGTACGGACGATCCTACGAATCGTTGGATGTATCTTAGGGACTTCGACGGCTTGCGTTCCCTTAGTTCTTCGCGTTCCTGGACACTTAATTAGCACCTAATTAGCACCTAATTATAGTTAGTGCACTTTTCATTTTCTTGGTTTTTTGAGGTAGTGCTTTGCAGAGTTCATATGAACGTGGCAAAACATGTAATAATTTAAAAAAAAGGAGCATTTAATTCCGAAATAGGGCATTTAATTAGCACCTAATTATAGTTAGTTCACTTTTCATTTTCTTGGGTTTTAAACATAGCGTCCTACTGAGTTCATAATATGAACCTGGCAGAACATGTAATAATTTAAAAAGAAAAGTAGCATTTAATTCGAGGATAAGGCACTTAATTAGCACCTAATTATAGTTAGTTCATTTTTCATTTTCTTGATTTTTTGAGGTAGTGTTCTGCTGAGTTCATATGAACCTGGCAAAACATGTAATAATTTAAAAAAAAGGAGCATGTAATTAGGGAATAGGGCACGTAATTAGCACCTAATTAGCAATATGTTTGATTGTGTTCTGGTAACCTTGCTCTGCTGGACATAATGTTGTAGGCAATCCCAATGGTTAAACTTCGGAAATATTGATTTCCATAAATTTATAGTAAAATAGGGTACAGAGGATAGCTTAGAAAACCACGGAATTCGACTACCCACAGTTTTGCATTGGACAAAAAAACAAAAAATTTTGAATGTAGTAGGACAGACACAACCCCCTTGCACGCTTTTTTTTTAAGACACTTTTTTTACCAACGGATGATTTGTAATCCTTACTACAACTGTTCTGTAATTCGGGATAATTAAGTATACTTGCCTATATTTATTTTTGTATCACTGTATGAAAGATAGCGACACTGCGTTTGTGATAAGATTTCCGTGTCAAACTTTATTAGTACGAAAATGCCTCCCAAGGACGTATCAACATTGAGTCGTGCCGCAATAAAGCTTTTTCTGAATTCTTTCGACACAGTTTTGTGCGATTGTGATGGTAAGCCCTCACTTGTTATAATTTCACTTTCACCCAATTTATTTTCCCTAATCTAAGGTAACCTCACATTAATCAGTGCATGTTTCTACACGCAGGAGTGGTATGGAATCTGTTGAATCCGATTGTTGGAGTAAAAGAGACATTGCAAACACTCAGAGAGTGCGGAAAAAAGGTTCATTTTGTGACCAACAACAGTGCACTGGGAACCAAAGGTATCCACGATTCGTTACTCGAATACGATAGGCAACTGCAGCCAACCGATGTAATCACGCCCGCGCAAACGATTATAAAGTACCTCAAAGAGTTCAACTTCAACAAGGAAATTTACATTCTTGGAACTTCGTCCATGAAAGAAGATTTTCAAGATGCCGGATTCAAATTGGCGAAAACCAAGGTAAGCTACTTGCTGCTGATCTTTGCGATCTACAATTTTCTTGCAGCAGCAGCAAACGGCGGATTCAATGGAGGTCCTTCAGGAGTTTCTGGTTGACGACGAAAGCGTGGGGGCGGTCGTTTGTGACTACGACATTCACCTGTCAAATTTGAAAATGATCAGATGCGCCGTGTTTCTACGCAGGCCAGACGTTCTATTTATTCTAGGAGCGACCGATAAAAAATTGTTCGTGGGAAACAAATTAGCGTTACCAGGTCCGACATTTTCCCTCACGCAAGTGAATCGGTCTTCTAAATCAATCATTTATAGGTCCACACTTTTACCAAGCTGCGCTGGCGGAAGTGACGGGTAGGACCCCCATGGCCTTCGGAAAGCCATCGCCAAACTTGCACAATTACATCACCAGAGCTCTCAATATAAAGGATCCCTCTAGGGTACTATTTGTAGGAGATTCGTAAGGTTTCTTAGCCGCATTGAAATTTTAAATTTCCAATGGAATCTTTCGCAGAATTGCTTCCGATATAAGATTTGGGTCAGCTTGTGGGTTCCAAACCTTATTGGTTTTTAGTGGACTGGCCAAGCTGTCCGATTTGAAGAAGATTAAAAACGAACAAGATACTCCAAATTACTACTTGGACAGTTTTGGTGATCTGTGTGAGATAATCAAAAGTAGACTGGAAATGTAATTCAAGGGTAATCTGAATCTTACGGTTTGTTTATTTTAAAAGCGAAATAAAGAAACAAACTAACAATTTAAAATATGATGAAAAATCTCACTAACCCTTGCATTGACTAATATAGTCTCCCATCGTCAAAGCTTATTGAAGCCTGGATCCTGAACCTTCAATCCAATTTACGATGGTTGTCTTTCCACAAGTTCGATCTGTCGCGAATCTTACCTTGGCCACACATTCCAAGTGCTCGAACCCACAGCCCTTATAACCAGGCCCGGATTTCCCATGAGACCAAGTGGGCCCGGGCCCATAGCGGCAAATTTTTAGGGGCACCAAAAAAACCAAATTTGGTAAATAATTCTACCATGCTATCGTGGAAAAATAACAACCTCTTAAGAAATTGAAGTTGGAATGGTACGCACACTCTTACCAACTTAAAAGTAATCATCAAATATGGAGTAACATAACCTCACATTTCGACGAAATTATGTGAACTTTTGATTTAGGGCTTCTCTCGCAATTTTTTTGTTGAAAACGCATAATTAAGGTGCCCTTTAGCGATTTTTATCAATCGTACCTGGGGAGATTAATAACCCCACGTAACTGTTAGATTCTCTGAATTCTCTGAAAAACGATGTAGTGGTTACATTTAGATGTTTGTATAATTGTATTTTATTGTTTAAACTGGAATATAAACTTGAACTACGTAATTTGAAATTGATGTCTTTATTATTTTGGAAAAGCACTTCTAAATTTCACATTGTAAATTTTACGTAATAACGTATGTCCTTAAAAGTAAAGTTAGATATAGTCCCTTGATGACCTCCTATTGATGTAATGATAGGGAAATATTAATAAAATGGGGTAAATTTCTCTAAAAATGAACTTATTTGGTTGTAATTCAAACAGATATATATACTTTGTTTCAATAACACTTTATAAATCTCGTAATTAATATAAACAAGTTGTAAATCAGCATATGCTTGATGAAAGCGCATTTTTGGTAATGAAGATCAGTATTTCATTAGCAAAGTTTAAAATTATCGATCTCACGAGTAATCTAACTCAAAATAGACTAGAGCCTGCACATTTACGCTATAACAGAAAGCTTTTAGTGACAATTTAAAGTATCTAGCAATTGTAATTGCTGAGATCTCAGCCGGGCAGCCAGCCAGCCAGCCATAACGAATAGAATAGCGTATTTTTTAAAAAATGCGCTAATAATTAAGTTGTTATACTGGTAGCGCTATCTAGCGGTAAAATTATAGCACCTCCGAAAACCATATCGAAATTATTTTCTTCATTATTCAACCCTATGCTGTATCACTCTCGTTATTCTATATGATCAATCGTTATCGCAATTTAACGATCAAAGGTTATGATGACCACAACGACTATCGATAAACGCGATATGCTGTATCAATATTTTAACGGTATCGTTACGTTGTCCGATATCTCGCAGTGGCTATTTCGGAAAAAAGTGTCGCATTCTAGAAGACAAGGAACGCTGCGCAACGGCAGTGCGTGTAAGAGTGAAATACCACAGCGATAAAATATAAGAGGGCGTTGCGGTGAGCACTTTATCTTAAAACAAATACCCGCCAGATTTGGAAATGCAGACGTTTCTTTAAAATTGTTATTATTAATTGCAAGTGTACCTACCTAGTTGTTTTTTCACGACGTGGCGAATGTCGAAAAGAATAATAAGAGACAATACAACAATTTGTTTTTTTTTGGATGATTAGGTACAAATACCTTCATTATCCTCGGGTGGTGGTAAATTCAAAACTCCAAAACAGCGTTCTATTACATTCTTGGCTAAAATGTGTTGTATGTATCTTCCCTGTGGTGAAAGTGGGTCTGCATTTTCCATTGGCGTTAACAACCATGGCTGCAGTGCATATCCTGAATCACCTATACAAATTTGTAAAAGGGTAAAATTATTAGGTCACAACAGCCACACTAACCAATTAACCAAGATGAATGTAACTCATTGGTTAAATACTTTTCTTCCAGGTGCCTTTTCACCGCATTCATACCCCATATTGCAGAGTCGTGAGTAGATCCCGGTAACCGTGCATTACAATTCAGGATTTTTATGTTCGCATCACAAATCTGCATGTTAAACAAATTTTCATTGAAACATGCTGCTGTTAGTCCTTACCATTTGTACATTCAGATTCTCTTGGTAAACGAAAATTTTTTTGAAAATCAATTTCACCCAGCTGAAACGGATCACTGTTGTCTCGTAAAATTCTTCGTTGGATGTTTTCCTCATGTCTCAATAAAAACATAATCTACGAGTATGAAAAGGCACAGAACTCGCCTCCCTATTACATTTTCCATTTGCCCGAACAAAGCTACTTGCAAAAATCCTTGACAATTATTCATTTTCTTTCTCTTTAACATCCGCTTAAACCCCGAACGAATCGATGACGGGACCGTTACGTGCCAAACGGATAGCATGAACCCTGCCGTTAAGTTTCTCTGGTTATGTTTGCAAAATAACGATAGAGAATTACGATAGTCGTTATCCCACTCTTGCTATGAGTGATACAGCATACAGATTTTTTAAAAATTATGGTAACACCGCATAACGATATCGTTATACTTAACGATAGTGATACAGCATAGGGCCGATTATCGATCTCACGAGTAATCCAAGTAAGAGTCGATCCGGCACATCTACACTACATCAGAAAGCTTTAGTGAAAATTTGAAGTCTCTAGCTATTGTAATTGTTGAGATCTCAGTCGGACAGCCAGCCAGCCATAACGAATATAATAGCGTATTAACACTTTGTAAAGAGTAAAATATAATTTTGGTTGGATTATAATAGTATATTAAGATACAAGTGTATAATCAAGTCTTTAAAGCACGCGCAACGAGTTTAAGGGCACGACGCAAAGCGGAGTGCCTTTAACGTTGGAAGTGCTTTAAAGACCAATTATACACGTGTATCTTATAGTATTTTTTATTATACCTGCAGTATAATTTAAAAATAGGAAATACAATGAAATCATATTGACGTTATACTCGAATATATGGATAATTCAGTGGGCTGGGTTTTCGTAATTTCACGATTGCCATGGAAATGTCACTTGACGTTTGTTTATAAAAATCATCGTCTTTGAAATAAAGCGATTTGCGTTGAAAAAGATAGTAGGTACACCGTCCATTAAATCGCTTGTTGTAAAATCTAAACAAACGTTGGTAGGTGACTAGGTGTAAAATCCCAATCCAGTAAAGCCTATTATAAAGAATATGAAAAGTTGTTTCCATGGATGAATAGGAAGTTACTTACGAATAAAGTCTTAAATGCATCGATAATGCTGGCATATGTGAAGGAAATGTCAAAGGTATTTAAATCTTCTATCTTTTGGTGCATTCATTCAAAACTTCAAAGATTGCTGCGACTAAAAACTGGAACAGGTTTGGAAGCATACCCTAAATTGAGCGCGTTTGTAGAAGCTTCAACCAAAGGATAGGTACAAGCCAAAGCAATGTTTTGCATTTACAGAAAGCGACCTAAGAGGATTTTTTATTTCAATCCCAGATGACAGTTTCAAAAGTCTTGAAGTATCGTTACTTAGCAACTTTAAAGCACGTGTGTTTTAAAGGCCTTTTTTCGCACGCATTTGAGTGTTTTAAACGGAGATTGTGATTCAGGTATAATAAAAAATGCTTTTATCTGGTAGGGCGAGGTGGAGCGGCGATTTCGAAGAGCCCATAGGCGCAAAGTATGTAGATCCGGCCCTGCTTATAACGCGAATTTTTTCTACCAAAAAGTCCTTCCTCCAATGGAATTCGTTTTTTGAGCAGCCAATCACAGTCCACGTAGACTTTCTTTTGCTAAATCAACATACAACTCCCACACAATTTAATCGCGCAAAACCTTAACAATTTACGTCGTAAATCCGATATTACGACGCGACGATGCGAGATGTTTTCCTATACGGTTCGATGCCCGAACCTTACCATCTCTCTATTCCCTCCACCGAACCGGAATGCAAACAACTTCTTCAACTTGGGGAACGAAGGGCGGCCCGGCCCGGGACCCTTACGGCACTTTGTGTGAACAATCTGGCCACACACTCTTTTTCACTTCCTCCCTTATTCGCTCCCTCCGCTTCTTTATCCTCTCCCTCCCCTTCACCTACTTTTTCTTCTTCGCACCAGCTTCAAACCTTGTTTACTCCACTGAAAGAAATACTCCTCGGCAAAGGATCCGATAGACCCTTTACCTCTAACCCTTGGTACTGTCGTGGGTTTTACAAATGACAAGAAACCCACTGTCTAGGGGGGAGGGGGTTATTCCATACTCCCCAGACTCCCGGTAACACTTTTCACTAAAAAACGATCCTCCTGTAACCCTTTCCACTACAGGACGTTTATCTCCGAGGACTCTCATAATAGTTTTTTTTAAATTGTCGAATCCTTCTCTGCAAAGAGGTTTTGCATATAAGATCGTACCACGGGGTGTGGTGGGTATGAAATACCCCCAGTAAAGAGACCCCTCGGCAAAGGACGACTCAATAAATCCTTCTCATAATAGTAAGAAGTATTGCATAGAACAAATACCGGAGGGTCTGGGCGATATAGAAAACCCCCCAGCAGAGAGACACCTCGGCAAAGTACGACTCGATACATCCTTTCCGTCTAACCCTTGGTACTCTCATGGGTTCTGAAAACAATGAATCCACTGTATACGGGATATTTCATACCCCCCCAGACCCCTCGGTAACCCTTTCCACCGTGGAATGTTTATCTCTCAGGACTCTCATAATAGTAGTATTTCTTTTTAAATTATCGGATCCTCTTCTGCAAAGAAGTATTGCGTAGCACATAATAGCGGAGGGTCTGGGGGTATAGAATACCCTCCAGCAGAGAGACGCCTCGGCAAAGTACGACTCGATAAATCCTTTCCTTCTAACACTCGGTACTCTCATATGTTCTGAAAATATTGAAACGACTGTATACGGGGGGGGGGGGGGGGGGCATAGAACATAGTACCGGAGGGTCTCCCGGTAACGCATTCTTTTCTGCCTTTTCTCCTCATGTGCCCCTTGCGCCTTCTATATCACT